GCTTCTGGGTGGTTCCATTTCCATTTGGTGCCACCAATGACTTCGGATTGAGGTGAATGAAAGTACAGACTAGAGCAGGGAGTCAGGTCCTCAGTCTACTGAAGATGATGGAGGTAAGAACAGACAAGCAAGAACCCAGTTTGGGTTCTTGTTCTCCTGTTCTCCTAGCCCTATAGGAAGATACTGTTCCAAATCTCAGAGTTCAATCTGGGTTACACAATTTGCATATGTAAAAAGAAAAAAAGAATGCCACATGTTGGTGTACAAGCCATGTACTGACTCTTAAGAACTTTCAATGCACTTTGTTTTTAAATAATGAGGAATACACACTTTCTGCCAAACATGAATGTCACTTGGTAGAAGTAATGTGTGTCAGCACAGGGTAAAATGCTAAAACAGGAATGGGAGACCTTTGAGAAGACCTATCACTTAGACAATCTTGGATTCTCTACCTTCTATGGAAACAGAACCATTTTATAAAGTGTTAGGCAGAAAGACAGATATGAATGGGATGAAAAGAGGGTGCGGCCCATCAAGAACTCAGAGAGTTAATAGATAAAGCCAGAAAGGAATCAGAGTTAACACCCTTCGCAATATGGGTTCATTCCACATGCTCTGAATCTGGGCTGACCTTGAGATTTCCTCTAGCTAATGCAGGTGAGACAGACATCGTGAGACCGCATGACAAGCCTACACCTAACAACACCCACCTTCGCCCTTTGCCCCATTCTTGAAAGCCTAAAAAGGCAGAATCCTAAGCCCTTATGTACGCCCCTCTCTGAGGTTGCCTGGGCTCCCCTTTCCTGGAGTGCGTAAAGACTTCTTATTGCTCAACTTGTTACACTTTGTCTCTGCTCTTCCACTGATGTCTTTGTCACTTTGCAATTTCATTCCCTTTTCCAGACTTTAAACCCACGTCTTCACTCTTTCTGACCTATTTCAGTTAAGTAGGGAGGAGCTACTGAGAGCTCTTATTTGATCTGTGAGTGCCTGTCAGTGAGCTTCCCCTTCCTCTCTGCTTTATTCAAGTAAACCTGCCTTTGTCCACCTTGTCTCTGGCCCTTCCTCCCTTGGAGTGGATTCAAATAAAACTTTTGCTCCACTTCACTACTGTGTCTCTGCCCTTCAGTTCTTTGTTGCGGTGGTGACAAGAACCAAGGAGGGCTAACTCAACCCCCCAACACAAAGTGCTATCTAAGTTCTGGGGACAAAAATTACAATAGTAATTCAATGTTACTCTGAAGGATGCCCTATACTCAGTTACCATACATGACTATTTTAACTGAATCCATTAAACGTCACTGCTGAAATAACAGTCTGTTCTTTGGCTAAGAACAGATCATGTGTTGCTTAAATAAAGGTACCTGCAACTAACGAACATCTGCTTAGCTCGCAAGAGATGCCTGAAATAGTGAGTGGAAATTCTATCAGAATAGTAAAGTTCTTCCCTAATGCATTCGGTCAATTTTAATCACCAGTTGTCTTGCATATTTTTCAACTGTTTCCTTCCAAAGGCTAAAAATGTCATATATTTTACATATTTCAGCATTGTTGCCTGTCATACACATAGGCAAATTGTTGTTTAAAAGCTGCAATGTTTAAATTGAAATAGAACTTATGCTTACAGTGGTAAATATTCCTGGATTAATAGAGTTGCAGCAAACATACTCCAAAAATTGACTGAAGCCTGTGATACTAGAAAGACAGAAAATTTATCTAGTTTTAGCAAATGTCAAATCAGCAGCTATTGCTTTTAAGATTAATAAAAGATATAATGGTTTCTAGATAGCCTCTAAATAGAGATTACGATGAATGGAGAAGTGATTTACCAACAGTCACTACAATGAGATTTCCTTAAAGGTTACAATCATCAGTTATTTAGCTGAAACACTGCTGAGAATGCCTGGTCATTTTTTGAATAATGCATAATGTTCATTGTCGATTTGATCTGTATTATAACAATAGAGATATTTCTAAAATAATGGAAAAAACTATCTATTCCCTTCCAATTGCTTAACATATCATTTCCATGAAGTAATTGAGTCAGGACATATTACACACTGTCACCTGAGTGTTCTTTCTGCAAGCATAACTTGTAAAAATCTGTACATAGTGGACATCACAAAACAAATTTATCAACCTTTATAGACCTTTAAGAAAAGATGTGATGAACGCACAGGCAGAGAAAAGAACCTTTCTGAAGCAGTAAATTAAAATGATTAAATTTCTATATAGTTGTGTGGGACAAATTTATTTAAGCTCTGAAATTTAATTATTAACATGAACAACTCATCACACTAAAATAATGTTGCCTACATCATGTAAGTACTTTTTATATATATTTCCAAATGCCTTTAGCATTATTCAGGAGCCTGGTGGAGAAGCACATAGTATAATGTCTATCATTTTATTGTTGGATTATGAACTGCACTTCACATGTTGCTGTAGGCTATTTATATAAGCTTGTTTATCTATATGAACTTCTTCAAGGGCACAACAGAAGACCTTAATAAATTAAAATGAATTTCTTTGATGCTGTTCTTTCATGGATGTTTGAATGGGATGAGTAACAGGTTTGCATTAAAGAACTAGAATAAAGCAATAAAATATACATACATTGTACAGCTGAACCAGCTTAGAGACAGTGCCCCATGCATTGCTGATAGCCTCCAAGAGCAAGAATAAACAGCATTGAGTTACTATGCTTACATCTTCCTTTAGAAATTACCAGTTTACTTATATGGGGAGTATACATGGACCAAACTGGATGCTCTGCCATAACGCAGATGGAATTCTCAAAATAATAAAATTTGCCATCTCCTTACAGCTTCCTAAATGTCCTTCCCAACCTCCCCAGTTTTCTCGCTGACATCACCATGTCCTGTAAACTGAAACATCCAGGAGAGAACAGACCATATTTTATCTTCTTTCATCCATTTTTATCAGAAATAGTTATAGAGTTGAGTTGATTGTAGGTTGCAAAGTAAAAATGAGTTATTAGTCATAGTCCAAAACTAGAGGATTCTCACCTGGAATGTTTGATGATGGTGAAACAAATCAACTATCATTACTAGAAATTATATGATGTAATAGAAAGAACACTAGAAAGAAAAGCAAAACCATGTAATTATAGTTTTAGAACTGCTAGCACTTAACTGTAAACCCTTTCTATATCATTTCCCTCATCTATAAAATGAGGGCATAGTTCTATATGATCTCTCATTTTGCATCTCTAAAAGACCATGATTCTAAAACTAAGCAGAGTTACCCCATCACAGAAGAATGGACAGACCATGGAGCCATTAGATGTTTCTACATTGGTAGCTACCACTACTAAGGAATCCAATAAACTGCCAACTCCTCAACCAGAATGGGTAAAGTCCAGTTCCCCAATCAGTGCAGTTAAAATTGAAGGATATTAAGAATACATTTTAGGCATTGTGTGATTTCTAACCTGTTGCAATTATCCTTTCTTCTTGCATGATTTGGAATAAACAAGAAGACTGCTTACTGAACAAACTCTTATGAACAAACTCTTAAGTACTTATGTACTTATAACATATTTACTAGGATTATGTTCATATCTTTAGCTTAGGAAAATTTGCTATTACTTTAGCCTCTGGAACATGGACTAGTGTGTCACCAAGTTGACATCCATATTCTTAAGGGCAGAACGGCTATGAAAGGGTAGCAGGAATGTGGCTTGGTTTATTTTTACTATGCTACCTTCTACTGACATCCAGCCCTTGAGAGCCAAACCTAGTGTATATTCATTTCAACACTATATGCTGCAGCAAGGCCAAATTGGGTGTTAGCTGCCTGTTTTCTAAGCACAGTTTTATAGAGCTTAGTCGTACCCTGTTGTTTACATATTTTTCATGGCTGATTTCATGCTGCAGTGGCAGAGCTGAGTACCCATTGCCAAAGCCTGAAATATTTACCCTATTTATCTATATTTATTTATGTGCCCCTTTACAGAAAATGTTTGCCAACCCCTGCTCTATAGGAAAACCTGTTACAATTTACATTCTAATTTTCCTTCTCTCATAAGTATAAGAAACATGATCCCTAAGTGACAATGGCAAAGATATGAACAGACTGACACATACACATACACATATGTGATCACACCTCTTAGCACCGAATGGTAAATAGTCACCACTTTTGACCATGCATTTTAATTTGAATCTGTAAGAGGTACAGTTACCCTCTAGTACCTTTTCCTACAACAACTAAGAGTACAAGGGCTTCAGAGGTAGTTGCCAATGTATAATCACATAACTAAAGAACCTAGTTCTCCCCACAGAGGAGACTGCCTGCAATCCCACCAAATGTCCAGTTTTATTTCATGCCCACCAAGAGTCTCAGTACAAGGTAAGGGCACAAATACTAACAGATCCCTTAAGTCCTATGCCTTGTATCACACACCATCAAAAATAGAAAAATCAATGGCAACACTGTACATTCATCAATAAACATGCATGCATATTCATATGCTAAAAAATGCCATAATAGGAGTTTCAGAAACTCACAAGAAATTCTCTCTCTTAAGTATAAAAGTGAAAAAAATCTTAAAATTTTTAAATAATATATTTTATGGGTGACTGCACCAAGGATTTGGAGAACATATGTATGTTCATATTTGCAACTTTTAGGCAATATGTTGTAAAGACTTGAAACATTAATATATGAATTGATTGTTCTATTAGTCAATAAAATCATTACTCAGAATACATACTACAGTTTAACTTTGCTCTCTCTCTTTCCCTCTCTTTGGTTACTAAAGACAGAAAATATTAGTTCCACCTTCAACAAATATTCTCATACTCTCCCCCAACCATCAATAATAATTTGCATGTATTAGCATAACATGAATTAAACCCAAGAAGCACTTTAAGTCATTTTGTCCTCATTTCTCTGAAACATTATATAAAGTGACAGAATATTTAGGCTGACAGACTTTTTAAAAATAAAGTAGAAATAGAAGAGGTTTATTTCACCTTCACATGGTGTCTTTCTCATGCAGATTTCAGATTTCCACATTTGTATCCCTTTAAAGGATTTGATATGCAGGAAGAGAAGAAAGGATGATGGTGAAATTTCATCTTAGAGACACCTACAGAACACCAAAATCCAGAATGAACAGTGACTTAAAACTTACCTTTTACTGATGTGTTGGGTGGGGGGCCTTCCATTCGCAAGTTCCATGGAGGATCCCCCTGGTTAGCAAAGTCCCTCATTTTCAGATAGCTAATTGTAAGTCGAATTATGGATGCCTTGTCAAGCTGGCTAGTGATGGCTGCAGGAAGAGGCAACAACTTGGCCAATTCATAGAACTCAAAATTTTCTTTTCCCCGGCGGGAGCGAGCAGCATCTCGGGACTTCTCCTTTCTCAGTGCTTGTAAACTGAAATCAAAGGAGTGCACAAGTGTTGCTGAGAACATGTGATTGTGTCATCAGGAACTGTTTTCTTTTTATTTCCTTTTCTTCCCCCAGCAAAAATCTACCAAAATCTTCTTCAAAATCTGGGGCCTTAGTAAAATGAGTTTCAGACAATGTCCACTAAAACCATAAATTCTACCTCTGGACTTATATGCCATAAACTCAAGTGCATTGAAAAACAATTTGCTTGTTAATTTTTTTCCTCCAATTGTGCATGCACTGAAATATATTCATTGTTTTTAAGACATAACACAACATTTACAGGTGATGCTTCATTATCAGCTACAGGCAATTTAAAAGATTGGGCTTGTACTCACCTACCTATTCTAAAGCTTATGATTTTGTTCATTTCATTGTTATCACCATGGAATCTTAAACCATCAAAAGGATGCATTTTTAAAATTTATTTCAGCTATCATCTTGGGGAACAAAGGGTAAACAAGCATAGTTCACAGAATCAAGAAATAAAATGTTGATGTGCTTCCAGCCCTCAATAAGGATCATGACCTTAGTCAGATGAAGAAAACATCCTATTGTAAATCAGAATTTCAATATAACTTACAAATGTGCTGGCAATTGGTTGATAAGAGAAAACATTAATTCTTTATTAATGGACATATAGTAGTAGATGCAGAGATCTCTAAGATACAAGAAAATAAAATATATTGCCCCAAAAAGAGTCAAACCTTAAGATAATATAAATTTAATGTTGAAAGATAAAGCCCTGCATGGGTTATTAAAATTTGTAAACATTATAGACATATTACTTCATAGAAGAGGCAACAGGTGGGACCAGCATTTTCCTTTAACTATTCATGTGCATTTCTGTTTGAAGTTTGCTCACATCGCCGAGGGCAGAATCTGGCACAACTAAAGTTGTGTTCGAGCATCTGACAGAATTCCATCTACTCTGAACTGCTCTGTTTTTTGTCTGACAAGAAATAAATTCAAAATCAGACCCTAATGATAAGTAATTGGACACTATTTATAGTATAAAGGTACTATTAAAATCATTTGTTAAGTATCTATTTTATTAAACTCTGAAGGCATTTTTAAACCTTTGAATCTAGCATTCTGGTTTCTCATTATAAAACAACAAGAAAAAGAGAAACAAGGAAGGACCAGGGAGCAAATCAAAATGAGGTCAGCAGTGTGGCTCCGATCTGTATTAGTATAATATGGGCAATAATGTTTCATGTCACATTATAGCAAAGCTGATATTGTTCATTATAGAAACACTATTCACTGCAGACACTTAAAATATCTTATTGAATATCTGAGTTAATTTAAGAAATGACATAGCACTCTGGTCAAATACTTGCTCGGCAAATACCCTGCTCACATCGCCGAGGGCAGAATCTGGCACAACTAAAGTTGTGTTCGAGCATCTGACAGAATTCCATCTACTCTGAACTGCTCTGTTTTTTGTCTGACAAGAAATAAATTCAAAATCAGACCCTAATGATAAGTAATTGGACACTATTTATAGTATAAAGGTACTATTAAAATCATTTGTTAAGTATCTATTTTATTAAACTCTGAAGGCATTTTTAAACCTTTGAATCTAGCATTCTGGTTTCTCATTATAAAACAACAAGAAAAAGAGAAACAAGGAAGGACCAGGGAGCAAATCAAAATGAGGTCAGCAGTGTGGCTCCGATCTGTATTAGTATAATATGGGCAATAATGTTTCATGTCACATTATAGCAAAGCTGATATTGTTCATTATAGAAACACTATTCACTGCAGACACTTAAAATATCTTATTGAATATCTGAGTTAATTTAAGAAATGACATAGCACTCTGGTCAAATACTTGCTCGGCAAATACCCTAACCAGTTTTGCTCAATTAATAAAATATTCCACGTTAGCCAACTAATGTATTTCTCAGAACTAGACAAGTTAATGCTATCATTTTCAGAGTCACAGCGGTCTCAGGTGACAAACCTTCATCTCTTGATGTCTCAGGTAATAATCTCAGGCCAAAACATTGCTGATTTAGCGGAAAAATCCTGTTACGCCACTTATTTCCTGATATCTTGGCTGGCCTCCATTCAATTACGTAAATGCTCAAATTTGGCTTGTTGAAAATTTAGTGAAGTAAGACATGCCTTAAAATCTGACAAAGTGTAAGTATAACCAGGACCCAGGCTAACATCTTAGGATAAAAGCACAATTCATATTCCTCCCTTTATGTAATTAAAGCAATCAATCAAACATGATTTATGTCAGTTGTGCCAAAAGTGCTATGCCTTGTGAGAAGCTTTCTCTAGCACTTGTAGAGTGCAGTGGTTCAAGTTCAATGCTTTGCCCCTTTTGTGTTCTTGTAATCAAATACTACTCCAGAAGGTGGGCTGAATTCTTTATTAATTCTTTATTAATGGACATACAGTAGTAGATGCAGAGATCTCTAAGATACAAGAAAATAAAATATATTGCCCCAAAAAAGTCAAACTTAAAGATAATACAAATTTAATGTTGACAGATAAAGCCCTGCATGGGTTATTAAAATTTATAAACATTATAGACATATTACTTCATAGAAGAGGCAACAGGTGGGACCAGCATTTTCTATCATAGTCACTCCAGAAGTGACTATGATAGAGCTCTAGAGCAGGGGTTGCAAACTCAAGGGTTTGCAGGGTTAAGGCAAGGAATGCCAGCAAGTGAGGAAGCCTGATGGTGACTGGGGAACAGAAGCCCAGGCAAAGGGACAGCATATGCAGTTTCAGTTCACTGCTTCTTTGGGAGAAGGCACACTTGATGTTGCCAGATTTCTGGGGTTGCCATTTTTAGAGAGCAAAATCTGAATTTTTACATGGCATTTCCAATTTTATGTTATGATTTAATTTTATGTTAACTAGAGTTTTAAAAACCATGCAAGCCAAATAAAACATAACATTCAGTCAATAAAGGGGCAGAGACTCATTTTACAATTAGGTAAGAAATTGGGAGGCCAATTTTGAAACAGTTTTACATGGATGTTTTATGTAACTTTCCTTTATACATGTCACTGAAATGATCACAAATGGAGTCATCTAACATTACTACATTGTTATCTAATTAACATTACTAAAATTCATACTAAGAATTTCTCTATTCAGCTGGAGCAAATAAAGGATTAGGCAATTATTCTGAAATTAATATTAATGCTAAGGCTTACCAATAATCTACGGAAAAAACCTAATCCTGAGAGGAGGCAAAGCCCAAGATCACAGGGAGCAAATCACTGGGCTCCACAGACAAGACAGGGGAGATGGCGTCCTACAGTCACTCAGGGAAGAGGAGCAGGTGGACACCAACGCCTCTGCATGGTTTGCCTAACCACTGCCCTCTGACACTTGACTTCTCTAAATAGGACTGGGAAGAACTCACTTTACGTGTTCCTGTACCACCTTCTTCTCTTTCTGTTCTCAACATCTGCATTTTTTTTTTAACTCTACCAGACACTGTTATCCTACTGGAGTAATCTTCTTGGCCATAATCTTAACAATGAAGGGTTTCCATGTCCCCCACATCACATAAGTATGCAGACACCGTAAGTTCGGCAGACATTCAGAACGACAACACTGTGTCCATAATAAGTAGTGACTAGTTTGAGAGCAACAGCAATAAAATATAGTCAAAGGTTTACAATGGCTGTGGAGATGCTGACAGAAGAGATGAAGCTGAAGACCTTAAGACAATGACATAGATCGTGGTCTCATCATTCACATGCTTTTCTGAAGCAGAGCCTAGATATAAGCAATTCTCAAATTGAATTAAGGGCTACATCAAAATCTGAAATAAACTCTGTATTTGTACACTCTGTTCTAAACCAAAACAATTGCAGTTGCATTTCTAGAACACTAAAGAATGAATGGATTGGTTGTACATAAGTAAAATGTTATGGTGCTGACTTCTGCCATCTAAAATATGATTAAACCTCAGACTCACAATAAGTTATTCCCTGGACCCAAACTTCGCACTTCCACTTAGACTTTGAATAGTAGAATATACAGACTCTTCCTTAATCCTCAGCAAATCAAAATATCAACTCTTTGATGATAATATTATCATCCTCACCAATAATTACCACCACCAAGAAACATAAACAATAAAATCTACAACTATTTCTAAAAGACAGAGTGTATGTATATATTTTTTTCATTTATATATATAAATCTTGAAGTCATATGCAAAATTGTGTGTATATGTGTGTATTTGGGGGAAGACACTAAATGATTTTCAGATTCTCCGCAAGGGTCCATCACCCCAACTAAAAGGGTAATAATCTAATATCTAGAATTCTCCCTTATATGGTTTATAAAGTTAGATTGCACATCCCACCCCACTTATCATTATTGATGCTACCAGAATTAACTTATCCTAAACACACATCCCTAGTTTAAATATTATTTTTTTGTATATTTCCACTCTACACTTTGAAACAAGTTTTACAAGTCTCCAAAATTATCCCTTTAAGCATAGATAACAAGCAATCCAAAAAAAATGTACTAGTAATGAAGATTTAGAGGACAGTGTTTGTTGAAAGTTAAGTGATTTTTCTTTTTCAATCTTCCCACATGTTTTCAGTTTCCTTGGCAAGTTGTGTGTTCTGTGCAGAGAGCCCTGGTGAAGGAGCTAAAGACCTACGATGGCCATGTGCAGGCACTGTGATTCCAAGGCACAAAGTCAAGGCTCAATTTTACCATCTTACAGCATGAAGATAACAAGGTACATCTGGCAGATCTCCTGGGACCATCTCAATGGCTCATGATAAATTCCATGGTAGTGAACTACAAAGCAATAAACTCCTCAGACAACTCTAGATTTTAACAATTAAGATAGTTTGTAAATTCTAAATGTGACAGATTCCACTTCAGAGTTTTACAACAGAGAAGAATTTTTAGAAGTTGGAAAGACTTAGGAATGCAGAGAATATAGTCAACTCATCCTTAAACTTTCCTGGAAGCACAGAAGT